GGGGAGTTTTTTGCTTCAACAATTATGTTGATTGAACATCCCATTGTTTGTAAATGTCGCCTCGTCTGTCCACAGAATTTGAAATACAGAATTTTCATTTTCCTGAATACGCCGTAAGAAATATCGACAACAGTTCATTTTTCGGATTTTGTCTTCAGGTTGCAATGTTTGTCCAACGAAAAACCGATAGGGATAAAAGTTCTGTGTTCTTAGAATACGTTGAACCGAGGATTTTGAATTTCCACATTCTCTAGCCAGATCTTCCACAAATGCATAGGGATTTAATTCGCCGTTCGCCAGCACTACTGTCACACTACCGTCATCTTTAACAACTGGTTTGGGCACGTCGCGTTTTGGTTTGTGGAAAGATTAGCGTATTGGCGTAAATTGGACTCCAGTTTGTAAAAATACGAACACGAGTGCTGTTACCGATTGAGATACGTTTCTCGATACTGCCTTGCGGCCTCGGTACCATTTTGATTGCATTTGCTAAACAAAATGAACTGTATCAACTGCTTCACTATTCGTAAATGGCATAATTTTGAAACACTGGGACAGCAAACGATCGCACACGAGTAGTAAATAGTTACTGATGGAAATCTTAATCTTACAGTGACCAGTATATTAGCCGCCGCGAAACATTGTAAGGCAGCACAAACATTGTAATGGATTCAGAGAACTTTTATCTTCGATAACTCCCTAACGAATAAGTTTAGGGCATAATTATGTTAGTACTTTTATGTAGAGCATAAGAAATTACATCGACTGGTGCAGTCAAAAATGTAGGTTTCCAGTTTAAAGAAAAGTGCAGATGTATTTTTCTGATGCACCAATGCAAATAAGTGCATAAAATTATTTGCATATTACGCATCGTCTGATACCATTTAATTGTGACTTATAACATATTTTTCTATTCCCAACCGTTAAAGAGGTATAGTCTATTCCAGTTGCGTGGGCACCCTGTATATCAGTACTGCATATGGTTCAAAACCTTAATGTCTCATATTTCTACTCTGTCTTATAGTCCTACCTTTTCCTCTACTACGTTCTATGCGGTCAATTAGAAAAAATCGTACCTCTAGAACTGTAGGTCGTTAAAACTACAACATTGATTATCTCGTAAACTATTACATTTGTTTTCAAAATCATGCTATTAATTTTAGTATCTCAAGTCTTATCGCCGTGCAATACACCATTATAAAGTCAGTTTCATATTTTGGGAACTCTAGTTATTATTACCTTGTGTTATTGAAAGGAATTTAACCAAAATTGACGAAATTTTTCCTCTCCTCTCTCTTTCTACTGATTTACTTCAAATTTTATATATTCGTACATCTATGTGGTTGTTATCGATTCCCCAGTCAATTTTTCTTTACGTTTATAGGAAATGGGAAAAAGTGGAGTAGAAGTGTCGCCCAGGAAAAATAAAAATAAATTAATAACTTTTGAACGATTAAAAATATTTTAATGAAACTTACAGCAAAAACAGCAGAAAGTTATTGTTTTCGAATGATGTAGTACTTACGAGTTGCCATACATTTATACAATGTGTCTCACGAATTCTGTCCACTTAAATATCTTGATTATTTCTAATGTGAGAAAATGTTACTTACAGAAATTGTAGGGTTTAAGAAAGTTCATAATATGGTATAAATGGCATTCATGCATGTAGAAGCTTAGGGGATATTATAGAGGTATAAGACCTTTAAAATAAAATGTCCAATTTCGTATGCTCAATTTCGACAGAATGGCATACTCTGAGTATAAAAGTACTGAAGTACGTGTACACCACATACGAAAATATGTTTTATTCGAAAAAAAGAAGTTTAGGAATGATTTGGAAAAAAAATAAGGCAGACATATTATTGTAAATATATCTGTATTTATTGTGCAGTAATGACAAAAGAAATGAATATTGCTTAACATAAAAAAGATAAAGTTACTATAATACGGTGCAGAAAACATCTCACAGTTAAAATCGTACACATTAAGAATATTGTTTTATACTTAAATTAAATTAAAAATTAGTATTTCGTAGGGTATCCTCGGCTGCATTCTACGGCATGTAACTTTTTCAGCATTAATTTGACTAGGTTTTGTGTAAAATCGGGTTCAATTTTTCTCCATTCTTCTTGCAATACCTTTTTTAAATCATTTTGGTTAGAAATCGTATGTTTTCTAATCCTTACTTCTAATTCATGCGAAATATTCTCAATTACGTTTAGGTCAGGTCATTGGGGAGGTGTGTTGATAACTTTCAGGCAGTTATAATCGCCACATTTTGACAATATGCGACGTATGTTTTGAAAAATCTCCCCACATGATAGATAATTTTTTATTAACAAAAAGTAAAAAATAAAAAATTTTCTTCTGCACAGTAGTGTAGTCACAATGACAAGGGTATTTAAACAAAGGTGACGAAGGCAATAAAGATTTTTAAAGAAAGCCGCTACGTTTTCGGTTACACTTCGCCTCACTGATTCAAGGGGGATCCCCTTAGTGGTGGGGATAAAAATGTATCATTTACGGAACAACTCTTGAAGACATTTATCGAGTTTTCACTGTACAAACAAACAACATTTCTTTTCATAATTTCGAAGTTCTTTATCATTCTAATTAAGTTATGTTCCTGAAGTATTTTAACATAATATTTGAGACATTCAATTGTTTTAAGAGCATAACTGCCATTTCATGATTCTTTTTTTGTACGTGGGGAAATCCTCATGGACACCCGCGTGCCCGTCCGAAGAAAGAGCCGGCGGGTAATGCCGGACTCTTACCGGCTAAAACCACACGGTGACCATCCTCGGGCGCCTGGTGAGGGACCGGGAACTCTAGTGAGCCATCACAGAGTCTCCCGCCGCGTCTATTCAGACTCCTCTCGGTAGGAGGTACATACTTCTCCTACCGCATTCCCACTCAATCGCAGTCGCCTGGTCACCAGCGCCCGCCGCCCCGTGACATGGGACTAAGCCACCGGCCGTAGAGCCATGTTGGCCGCAAGACTCACCCGCGGTCAATTGGCCAACCTGCAGCCTTAGGTAAAACCCACGGCAAATATCCCATGCCTCAGCCCACTTACACACGCAACACATTCGTACCGGTATTTGGACGCGGGAACTTTCGCTCTGACCTCCGGGATGTCATGTGAGGATGCGGCCACCAGTCCTCTCAAGTTGATGACCATCTCCGAATCCCATCCCAACGGCTGCCGCTATCCACCAAGTGGGAACCCGCCACGTAGGAGTTCACAAGTGACTGTCATTATCACTACGGAAACGTTGGAAGTATGCATTATGTATACAGGGTGTTGGCCACCCATAAGAAAAATTTTAATGGGAGATTCTAGAGGCCAAAATAAGTCGAAAATCAAGAATACCAATTTGTGATTGAGGCTTCGTTAAAAAGTTATTAACGTTTAAAGTTCCGCCTGTAAAACGGCAATCTACGAACAGCTGTGTGGGCGCGGAAGATTTAGGCAGGCCAGTACTTGTGGTTCTCACGCAGCATTAAAAATTCTACTTTCCGACGTTATCGACAGCCTTAAATTTTTATGCCCACTCATTGGAACGCGAACGAACACCTTACACTGAATGAGATTCAGTCAAAACTCGCAATGTTGTGCACAAAAATCATCCACACGCGATCATACACTCCCCACGATTGTCCACAGTGTCCGCAAGTGTCCAGAAATAATTCTTTCAGGCATTAACCTCCATGCAATTAAATAAACACGCACCGCGATTATGTTGTGGCGCTGCTTTGCTGAGGGTAGAATCTCGGGAGAATTTCGTAGGAGGGCAGAAAAGGAAAGGAGGGGGCGCGTTTCGTCCGAGCCTGCTAGTGGACTCATCAATAAGGCTTTCTAGCAGGTCCTGCCTTAGACGACTGGGATATTGGGAAGTCGGTCGAGGAGTGTATAGCAATCGAGGGGTCGGTCGAGCGTTTGTGACGCTACAATGTTATTCGTAAGTGCCTCTGTGTACGTGTACCACGATTGTTCGATTAATTTACGAATATAATTGTTATTAATTTTTCAAATATACTAAAATTTAAAAATGTAAAAAGGAATCTGAGGATAAACGAAATTTTCGCATCGATTTGCGTTCACGTCGAACAATGTAACAATACATACTAGCAGCTGACTGTGCCATCGATTGACGTAGTTCAGAGAAACAAATGCCAAACACACACACAACATGAATTACAGTTCTATTCGTAAGTAACTTGTAAGAATCGTGATACACGTATGCAGTGACACTTGCGTGTAACATAATCGCGGTGCATGTTTATTTAATTGCATAGTGGGTAGTTAGAAGGATTATTTCTGGACACTTGCGGACACTATGGAAAATCGTGGGGCGTGTATGATCGCATGTGCGTGATTTTTGTGCACAACATTGTGTATTGGAAGTGGCATTCACCCTCTCTCTGTGAAAATCTCGTCGGGTGAGTTTTAATATGTCCTTCTGGATTTTTATAAGACAGGTTGAATCTCATTCAATGTAAGGTGGACAACAATCTAAAGCTGTCGATAACATGGGTAAGTAGAATTTTTCATGCTGTGTGAGAACTACTAACTGTTGTTCTCACACAACAGTTAGTTGTTCGCAGATTGTCGTTCTACAGGCGGAACTTTAAACGTTAATAACTTCTTAACGAAGCCTCAATCAACAAATTAGTATTCTTGATTTTCGTCTTATTTTGGCCTCTAGAATATCCCATTCAAAGTTTTCCCAGAGATGACCGAACACCCTGTATATAGACTTAAGGAACGATTGGTAGCAGGAATCGATAACAACGACATATATTTACAAATATACAACATTTGAAACAAATTCATAAAGGGAAGGAAAAATTCTGTCTATTTTGAATAAGGTTCCATAATATATTATTAAAATGCATTAAAACACATTCTAAATAAAAATCTTATACATATAAGTTTGAGGTTTCGTAAGATTCACTTACAAAGTAATAAATAAATGTATCTTCATTTGTAGATTGAAATTACTTTGAATGATAGCACAGATGAGGGTGAATTGGTAAAACATTTTTTACATACAAAGGGAAAAGAAGCTATCAGAAAAAAATTGGAAAAATATGTCTCATCTTTAAAAGAAGGTAAATTAACACCAATAATCACTTTGTAGGTATACAAATTTCTTCTTCTTCTTCTACTTTTTTTTCGGTGCGATACTGGCACTATCGGCTTCGTAGTAACACCATTTATCTTCTATTTTTAATTTTTAAATTCTCTATTTCTTCTTCTACTCGTCTTCTACCTGTTTTCTGTTCCTTACTTCAGTTATTCCCCTCCTTTCTACTCTTTTAACTTCTTTTCCTCCCCCTCATCATCTCCTTTTCCCCTTCTTAACCCTCCCGCAACCCTAACCGCTCCTTCAGCCGACGCTTACAACTAAACTTAAAGTTAACCTTAACCTATTACAAAAGACAATAAAACTAAAATAACACTACTTAATTACTAAATATCACTACTCCATTAGGAACATACTCCTCTCCCTCCTCTTCCTTCTAACTTTCACCGCCTATCGCGACCCGTCTCCTCCATCCATCTTCTTCTCTTTTTTCACAAATCCTTCCCTATCTTATCAAAAAAACTCTTCATTACCCTATATACCCTGGTCCTATTCATCGCCAATAATCCTATCACGTCTTTCCCTACCTTCGCTATTTCCTCCCTCAACCTCCCTCGCATCTCCACTCTTTCCAGGTTATACAATCCACACTGAAACATTACATGTTCCACATTCTCCTCCCCCTGCCCACACACACATATTCCGTCTCTAATTATCCTTTTCCTTGCTAATGACCCTCCTAAATTATAATGATTTGCCCTTAGCCTGGATACCAACCTAATCACTCCCCTATTCACCCCTCTTAACTTTTCAAACCACGGCTTAAACCTTTCCTCTTACTACTGATCCAAAACGTCCTAAAATACTCCCTGCCTTTTTTCCTCCCCTTCCTTTCCATCTCCTCCTTGAACGTCTCCCACCCATCCTTTTTCCTTTGTTCCAACACCTCCTCCGTGGGCACCTTCATTTCCGTGTCCGGAGGCCCCTGTGCATACCTCTTCGCCACCCTATCCCCGCCATCTCATTCCCCTCGATCCCTACATGACTAGGTATCCACACCAACACCACCCTCTTTTTCCTTGTTAACCCCCATACTACATCCACTATTTTCATCACCCACGGGTTTACCTCCTTTTTTCCGTAGCCCCCCTTTTTGATTGTTCTCAGTATCATCAACACCGACAACGAGTTCGAGAACACCACTCCACTTTCCTTGCCCTCCACTCCGCCAAAATTCTCTAACGCCCTCACTATGGCAATCGCCTCCGTCGTAAAAATCGACATTTTTCCATCCACCGATATCTTTCTCTCTCCAATCCATATACCTTACTACTCCTGCCCCGTTCGTCCCCATTCCCCCTATCTTCGATCCATCCGTATAGTAAACTACCGTACTCTCCCTCCTAAACCTTTTCTTTTCTAACACCACCCTTTCCACACTCCTCTTTGGCACTACTCCCATCTGAACCTGCGTTCCCAATTCCACATCTATCTCCCACCTTTCCTCCAACCTATCATCCTCCCGCGCCCGAACCCTTAACCACAGCAACTCTTCCTTCTTTTGCCTATCTCTTCTATAAATCTCCTTCTCGTACATTTGAGCCCTATCGAACATTTTTTCCGTCACGCTTACTGCCTTGTGCCTTCTACCCCACTCTTCCGCATTTCCCTTGTTCTCCCTAACTTCCTTATTCCCCCTCATCACCCTCACGGCTTCCCCTATCCCCTTCAACCTCTCCATTTGCCTTATCCAATATCTCTCCGCCAGATTTTCCACCCTGTTCTTCAGCCCTATTACCCCTGTTTCAGCATTCATTACATTCATGGGCGTCGAGATCCTATATCCCATAGCCACTCTCAGCCCCGCCGACTCCACTCTCCTCAGCATCTCCCAATTCCCATTCCCTTCCTGGAACATCCCTGGCAAAAACACCGGCGCCCCATATTCCATCACCGATTGCACCAAGGCTTTATACAGCCTCAGCACCATTCTCTGACCCACCCCCCTTTTCCCTCTACATATATATTTCAGAATATTCACCCTCTTTTTTGCCCTCCCTTCCAACCCTTCTACATGTTTCCCTAAGTTAAACACGCTGTCAAACCAAATCCCCAAAAACTTTGCCTCCGTCCTTACTTCTACCTTTACCTCCTTCCCCTCCAAGTTAACGCTCAACCCTTCTGGCATTCTAATAGTCGGATAATTGAAGAACACTATGCACGACTTTTCCGGCGCCAGACTTAACCCCCTCTCCCCCAAAAACCTCCCCACTCTCTCTATTTCCTTCTTCACCGTTTCCTTTATCTCCTCCCGCTTTCCCCCTTTTACTATTATTGCGATGTCGTCCGCATACTGCAACATCACCGTACCTTCTCCTCCATCTTCTCCCCCACCCCTGTAACATATATAACATATATATACCCCTTTCTTCCAGCTTACTACCTGATTTTTGTTAAAACACCTAATCACCTCCACCCTCCTCCCCATTAACCAACCATCCCCTTAACCAGTTCCTTATCCTCACTGGACACCCCTTTTTCTCCAATATCTGCCCTAACCTATTGAACCTTACGTTATCATACGCTCCTTTCATATCCAAAAACACCCCCACTGTTGGCTTTTTCCATCTAAAATTCTCCCTCACCACCGCCGCTAGCACATTCAAATTTTCCGCCGTCGATTTTCCCTTCCTGAACCCCGTCTGACATTTCTCCATTATCCCCGTACTCTCCGCCCACAACTGTAGCCTCCAATGACTTTTTCCATGATCTTTCCTACGCAGGATGTAAGCGTTATCGGTCTCAGAGCCTCCTTCCCTGGCTTATCCATTAGACACACCACTCCCTCCTTCCAATCTTTCGACACTTTTTTCTTTTGTCGTGGGGAAAATCTTCGAAAGACTCTCTCCCCCCCCACCTCTTTGGGGAGAGGCGGGAGGGGTGTGCGGACAGGAGGCACTGCCACCCCATCCGGTCCGACCCTACGCCGCCTGGCGGGAGGGGACTGGTATCAGGACCCCCCTCCCAGCCTGGGTCATGCGCCACGCCGAGGGGGCCGCCCGCGTCGCCTGACGCCCAGGCGACGCTCTCTCGCCACCAAACGAGCGCGAGCCTCAGCACGCCGCTGACGCTCGCGCTCCCTTCCCGCGGTCTCCTTCTGCAACATTACGATTTCGCAGAAGGAGGCCACGGCCCTCCACTTCTCCTCGCTGCCGAGCATGGCGCGCACCATGCCCGGCAGCGAGACATCCCGCCCGATGACGCCGATCAGGACACGGCGTTCACCCTCCCATGCAGCGCATACCTCGAGGGTATGTTCCGCCGTGTCCTGCTCAGCGTCACAATGGCAGCAACGCGCCGTCGGCTCCTTCCCTATCCGGCACAGGTATCTCCCGAAGCTGCCATGCCCCGAGAACACCTGTGCCATCCTGTAAGTGAGGCTTCCATGGCCTCTGTCCAGCCACTCACATAGGAATGGCCGAACAGCCCCGACTGTCCGGTGCCCCGCGGTAGGCAGAGCCAACCGCTCTTGCCACGCGTGCACCACGAACTGCCGGGCCTGGCGCTTCAACTCGCCCCAAGCAGGTTCCTGCACACCCGGGACCGCCCCCACCCCCGCGCGACGGTCGACGCGGTGACGATACATCGTCGCGTGCGACCGCGCGAGGAGAATCTTTCGACACTTCCCCTCTTTCCCAACTCAACCTCATCACTTCCCACAACATTTCCACCATCCTCTCCGTTGATTTTCCTAGTATCACATAATCAATTCCATCTTTCCCCGGGGCCGACCTCTTCCCCTTGCTGCTCCCAATCGCCCACTTAACCTCCCATCTACTAATGTCCCTATTCCACCTTCTCGCCAACGGAAACTCTATATCCTCCAACTCCCCATTATCTATCTCCCACTCCCACTCTTCCTCAACACTCCCTCCCTGCAATTTCTCTATCTTCTTCTCTTCTAACGCGTTCCTCGTAAAATTATTCATAACCTTAGACTCCTTCAAAAACCCCTCCTTAATCGCTTTTACCCTCTTCCATATTTTCCCTACATTCTTCTCGCTGCTTACTTCCTCTACCAACCTCTCCCACACCTTCGCCTTCTTGTCTTTTTTCAACAATCTCCACCTTTTCCTACTGTTCTCCATCACATGAAAACTTTCCACCGTTCCCCGCTCCCTCCACTCCCTCATACTCTTCTTCCACCCTTCCCATTTCTCCTCACATTCCTTGTCCCACCATATATTCCTATTCCCGATTCCCCCCTCTCCCTCCTTCCCCACTATTTCCATCTTTTCCCCTAACCCCCTCACTCCTCTTCTTCTTCTCCCCCTGCTTTCCTCCCCTCATTCCTTCCTCCATTGCCACCCTCACCGCTCCCAACACCGCCCTTTTCCACACCTCGTACTTTCCCTCCACCCCCCTCCCTACTCCTAAAATCCCCCGCTATCAACCCCTCCCTTTCTCTTAACTCCTTCCCAAACACCTTCCATTCAATTTTACTTTCATTATATATTCTGTTTCCCTTTTTCCTTTCCCCCTCCGTCACGAAAGCCCTCCTCTCCCCCCATCCCTTTAACCTATAACCATTAATTATCTAATGATCCGACCCCAAGTCCATCCACGACTCCCCCACCTCCACTTTCTCTCTCTCATCTACTTTCACTATTACCAAATCCAAGTTCGACTCCCCGACCTTATATTATCATTCACAACCACCAGCTCATTCCGCTCCAACACCTTTTCTAAGCTTATCCCCGCTTTCGTATTCCCCTTGCAATTCCACGCTCTATTATGCGCATTCATATCCCTCACCCATACCGTCCTCCCTCCGAACCCTACCCTGTCAACTATCTCCTGCCAATTCCTTCTCTGCAAAACTTGCCGACGGTCTCCTGTACGTCAAAAAAACATTTATCCCCTCCACTTCCCTCTCCCCCTTTATTCTTACCACCAATAATTCATACTTTCCCTCCACAGCACTTTCCGCTATCTTTTCCACCCTCAGGTTCTCCTTATACATATATGCACAAGAGTCTCGAACCCGGAACCGAACTTTCTCTTTTATTTCAATTAATCATTGTCTCTGCGTTGTCAATTTTTAAATACCCCCAAATTCTCAAAAATTCATACCTTTTTACCCACGTTTCCGAAACTAAGAGCAAATCATATTCATCAATGATCTTCTTTATTTCATCCCCCTTGTTCGCCACACTCCTTGCATTCCATACCCCAATCTTCAGCTCTTTCATCCGTCCCCTCTGCTCTCCTTTTCTCTGCACTTTTCTCCTATTTACTCGCCCCTTGACCTCTAACCCTGCTTCTACTACTCTTCTTCTTTATTGCTTCCCGCTGATCCTCTTCTCACCAGTCCTCTTGTAATTTTCTCTGTGCTGATTTTGAAAATAGTTTTGTACGTTAATTAATTTTACATTTTGTTATTAGAATTTACAGTTGGAATGATTCTACCCAAAAAAGATAGTATAAAGGAAAATATTTCAAATATCACTTCTGGATTCAACGCAAAAGTGAGTACAGGGAAAAATAATTAAAAATGCATATTTTTAAACTGATGTATTATTTTATTTTTTTTATAAATTATTTACAAATTATTTGTTTTTTTTAAATTTTATATTAATTTTTACAGATGCAAATGAATTCTAGTGCAGTGTCATCGAATAATAAAATAGAAGTAGGCTGTAAGATTTCGACAACAACAATTAAACAACAGCAGAAATTTCAATGCAGAGCAGAAGAATTTTACAGTGTTTTCTCAACAATTGAGGTAATGTAATATTAGTATTAATTAATTGATTAAATAATACAACTCAACAATTTAACATTAATGGAAAGAGCTATGAAAAGTTACAGTTAAATTTTAATACGCTAAGTGGTTGAATTTTTAAAATTGCAAATAATAAAAAAAATTAAAATTATGCATTACATCGTTCCGTCTGAACTAGTTCAAGAACTCCAATGGGGCTACTCAACCGAATTAATTTTTGTTAAAGTCAATATCTAGGAATTTATCAAAGTGTTTTCTATTATGTTATCAAGGAAATATGGTAAAGCAATATTTCATTTAATTGTATAATAATTAAGGCTGTCGAAATACTCGAATATTCAATCCGCTCGAAATCTGCATCGAGCCGAAATACTTTAAAGTTTCAATCTTATACTTAATCTTGAATCGAATTCAATGGTGCCCAAACAACGGGGAAAAAGGAGACGTGGAAAGAGTGAATATGCAAATTTTATTTCATTTCTCGCCTGTCTTTTAACACTATTCCTACCACGACCGGTCAAATGACCGTTTTTAAAATTTCGTTTAGAATTTCCTATACATACAGGGTGTTCGGCCACCTCTAGCAAAAATTTTAATGAGCGATAGTAGAGGCCAAAATAAGACGAAAATCAGGAATACTAATTTGTTGATGGAGGCTTCGTTGCAAAGTTATTAACATTTAAAGTTCCGCCTGTAGAATGACAATCCGCTAAACAGCTGGTTCGCGCGGACGGTTGCGGCAGGCGAGTGCTAGTGGTTCTCACGCAGCATGAAAAATTCTGCTTACCGACATTATCGACAGCCTTAGATTTTTGTCCACTTATGGGAATGCGAACACCTTACGTTGAATAAGATTCAATCTGTCTTATGAAAATCCAGAAGGGCATATCAAAACTCGTCCGACGAGATTTTCACAGAGAAAGGGTGAATGCCAGTTCCAATACACAATGTTGTGAACAAAAATTACCCACATGCGATTATACACGCCCCACGATTGTCCACAGTGTCCACAAGTATCCACAAATAATCCTTTCAGGCACTAACCACTATGCAATTAAATAAACACGTACCGCGATTATGTTATTCGTGAATGTCTACGTGTACGTGTATCACGATTCTTCCGAGTTACTTACGAATAAAACTGTTATTAATTTTTCAAATACACTTCAATTTAAAAATGTAAACAGGAATTTAATAAGTATTCGCTGATTGTTTATATCACTGTATTTCTTACATGCTACTTAATACATAACTGAAATGTGTCGCGTGAACTAGCTTGACTGATACTGTTTTACGACTGACTAGCTGGCCGAACACGTGCCGATGCTGCCCTTTGTCTCCGCTGTGTGTGAGAGAGATAAGCGAGGCGAGTGACGTAGAATCGGGGCCTGTTCGGCATATGTTTCTCTGAACCTCGTCGATCGATGGCACAGTCAGCTGCTAGTATTGTTACATTCTTCGCCGTGAACGTAAATCGATGCGAAAATTTCATTTATCCTGCGATTCCTTTTTACATTTTTAAATTGAAGTGTATTTGAAAAATTAATAACAGTTTTATTCGTAAGTAACTCGGAAGAATCGTGATACACGTACACGTAGACATTCACGAATAACATAATCGCGGTACGTGTTTATTTAATTGCATAGTGGTTAGTGCCTGAAAGGATTATTTGTGGATACTTGTGGACACTGTGGACAATCGTGGGGCGTGTATAATCGCATGTGGGTGATTTTTGTTCACAACATTGTGTATTGGAACTGACATTCACCCTTTCTCTGTGAAAATCTCGTCGGGACGAGTTTTGATATGCCCTTCTGGATTTTCATAAGACAGGTTGAATCTTATTCAACGTAAGGTGTTCGCATTCCCATAAGTGGACAAAAATCTAAGGCTGTCGATAATGTCGGTAAGCAGAATTTTTCATGCTGCGTGAGAACCACTAGCACTCGCCTGCCGCAACCGTCCGCGCGAACCAGCTGTTTAGCGGATTGTCATTCTACAGGCGGAACTTTAAATGTTAATAACTTTGCAACGAAGCCTCCATCAACAAATTAGTATTCTTGATTTTCGTCTTATTTTGGCCTCTACTATCACTCATTAAAATTTTTGCTAGAGGTGGCCGAACACCCTGTATACCCCAAATTGAGACCGTACAGCGGTGCAGTCTTCTCATCGTTTATATGTAGATGTCCTTACATAGTAAGTACGCATCTTGTACTCTCATCGCTATCATTTAAATTTTATCCGACTTGTTATAAACTATTGCTCCATATTTATTAAAATTTACATCATAGATGCCATGATCAGTTATCTTCGCAGCTGAAAGTAAATTCTCGTTTACTCTCATCACCGCTTCTTCATATGTTTTCAACGTGGTTTCGCCTCTGCCACGAAGTTGTCTCTCATTTCGCCCACGATATCCGCTCTGAGAATTTTTTCCTATTTTTCTTCTCATTGATGGAGCATTTCTCTTCCGTTCACGGCAATCCGCCGCAATGTGGTTAAATCCTTGGCAGTTAAATCATTTTTTGCTTCGTTTACAATCAGCTGCCATGTGTCCTTTAATGCTACAGTTGTAACAATTACCATCAATTTTGGCTCCCTCTTTTACTTTCCTCACTACTTCGTAGTCTTTGTTCGCCTTCTGTTCCTTTCTCTTTACTCTTCTGAGCTCCTCCTGATTTAACGCGAATCTGATATCATTTACTGATATATTCTTCAGCGATTCGAGTATTCTCACATTAGAATAATATTCGGGCCGAAGTCCTCGTAATATATACATTTTGAGTTCATATTCCTCAATGTCTCTTCCCAGTTGAATGCATTGATTTTTCAAACTTTCTGCCCTGTTTATAAAGCGTCAACTGTTTCATCCTTCGCCATCTTGATGTTTGGCAGGTCGCTAAGCAATCTAGCTTTTATCTCTTCTGTTTCGGCGACCATATCTAATCCCTGATCACAATTTATCAGCACTCTTCTCGCTACTATATTTCAACAATTGTGCCTTACTCATTGTATTAATCATCATGGTTCTCGCAGCATAGTTATTGTCATCCCACTCGTCCCAATATTTCATTTTTCCTCGTAGGTAGCCACTCCTACACTTGGTTTTTCTACCGATATTACACCAGTAACTTTTTTTCAAAGCTTTTTTGACCGTAAAACTGCTTCTATTTTTTCCTTCCATGTAAAATAGTTTGAATCGTCAAGCGGTTCAATGTACTCAATATTGCACGTATCGTCCATCTTTATACAAATTCTTCAATTCACTTTCTCGAATACTCTCTTGGAACGTTCTCAGCAACCACGCTCTGCTACCATTTGTGGGTGGATGAATAGAACGTATTGATTATAATTGTATAACGTGTGAAAACTATTTTACAAGAAATTGATACATTAACAACGATTTGTTCTACACGTCTTCTCGCTCTCAATGCTCGCTAAACAGTGACCAGTTTCAAGTCGAGTAATACTCGACTCGTATTTTACGAGTATTTGAACAGCGCTGTTAATAATAAAGAAATATAATAATTCTTTTTCGTAATTATTTCTTCCTCGTGTATCGATTACTGATTTAAAATGTTGAAAATCGTATACCGAGCGATGTAATGACAATTACTAATCTTTATAATTTTGAAAGTCAGAGAAAAATTAACTGAACAATAATTAAATGATACAAATAAAATAGCGAATAGCGCTGAAGGTTTCTTTGTAAGCAAATGTACTTTCGAGATATTATTTATATTTGTAAACATAAATATATTACAATTCACTACAACTGCGCCATATTGACTATAGTATAGTAATACGAACTATTTTTGTTATTGCTAATATTTCAATTTATTGGACAATATGATAATAGCAAACCTATTTGTTTAATTTTAATTTTATTATTAACCAAACACGGACGTATTCTGCTATGAATTCATGTTATATCAATATATTTTATTGTTTTTGCTTTATTTGCAATAATAGTACACCAAACTATATTACTAGTTTAATTTCACGTCAGTAATATAACGATCATAATTATTAGGTAAGATATTTATTTTTAATTCAATAATATCTTCTACAGATGGTTCAAGCTTTTACGAAAGGACCAGTTAAACTTGAACCAAAGATAGGAGGCAAATTCGAGATGTTTGGTGGTAACATACACGGTGACTTTGTGGAAATTACACCAACAAAGATCGTTCAAAGATGGCGTTGTAAACAGTGGCCTAATGGCCATTTTAGCACTGTTACTATCGAAATTGCTGAGAAAAGTGATCATACTGAAGTGAACTTAACGCAAATAGGTGTACCAGTTAGGTAAGAAAATGTAACTTAAATAATACATACTCACACGATCTATCGTATTTTGTTATGTTTTTTAAATATTGGTATATCGTGAAACGACATATTAAGTAGATCGAAATTTATTGCTACAATTTACTACTCTAAGAAAATTGTTTGTCATAAATTTTACATATTTTGGAATTCTACAAGAAAAAAAAGTGAAAGTAGTAGTTCAATTTTTACTATAAAAATAGAAATCTATACTCGGATCAGTGAAACGAGCCAGCAAAAGGAAATAAACGACCCTGAATGTGAGTCGTAAGTGTCCTTTGGCAACCAATGACTCCACCTGCATCATTGACCACGTGAATATCACACGAACACTTTGTTTTTCTTCATTGACTAGTCTCGTTTACTCGAATACAGTTATAAAATAGTTTCAATAGAAAACCTACATTTTGTATTCCTTTTATGAATTTTCAGTCAAGAAATTTCAACAAAAGGTATATTGTAGGGTATTATATGTATAGGTTATTATAGCCGAATAAGAGGGGCAAAAGTGAACCTAACCCAAACCAAATTCTATGTGTAATATACCATTCAATAGCTTGTTACGTATGTGGGATTCTTGCCCTTGTGGGTTGGGGATATACAAGGGAATCCCTGATGATAGAATAAAATGGCAGGAACAGATGTTTAACAACGAAAAAGATAGGTTTATTGACTGATGTTTACAAGTGCTCGGCTTTGGTGCAGGGCGATGACTGCCTCTTCAACCGGGTCCCCGTCTTAAAAACTAATGCCTGTTTACATTATCCCCGCGTCGCGCGGTCACACTCACGCGCCACGCCGCTCATTCACCACACGTATGCCAAACGTTTCGTTCCCCAATTCTTCCTTGCCAGTTGCGTGCATTAGGAAATCGCTCTGCTACTTATCTAACCTTTGAAATGGGTGTCACTTTCGACGAGATACAGCAGCTTGGTAATTAACGCAATTCGGAGAATACTGAATACGGTAATTTCTAACGTACATTTCAATCTACTCCCACAAATTTTTGGGTATATAAACCCCGCGATCTCCTTACTCGGGAGATCATAATCGTACCGTCACGTTTAGAGTCAACGTCACGTCTCTCGTTATACAGTGACTCGCATTAATATTCGGACACCATGCTGTGTGCGAGATTATTGCTGTATATATTTGTTTACAATAGTGTTATTGAATTGTTTTTTTCGTAATATATTAAAATACTTATTGTAGTTAATAGAAACATAAACTTTATTTATTTCACACACATAGTTTTTTGCAAAATAAGTGATAAAGTCAAGAATGTCGAAATTTAACATCGCAAAAATATTCGGACACAACAGTTTACTGGCTGTAGTAAGTCGTTGGATCCAGTCGGTTATTTTGCTAGTGTACATTGTTTGTAAACATAACGTCTAGCGTGCATCCAAGAGTCAGTACTGTTATTGACTTCGTTAATAGTAGACGTATTATTAGTGAATATGGGACGAAAAGGCAAAAATACATCCTTTGAAATTCGACAACTGGTTATTTACCACAAAGAAAAGGGAAAATCATATCGAGAAATAGCCAAATTGCTAAATGTAAGCAAGAGTACTGTAGCAGATATTGTACACAGGTATATTCATGAAGATCGAATCGATTCAATTCGGCAAAAGGGACGTCCAAAATTATTAGATTCTCGCGAAGAACGCAAGATTGTTAGAAAAATAAAGAATGATCCTAAAGAAAGTGCTATAAAACTAGCTGCCGAATTATTCCAAGAATCTGGAAAGAAAGTGCATCCCGACACAGTGCGTCGGGTATTAAAAAACCATGGATACAACGGCAGGGTTCCACGAAGAAAACCATATATAAACGAAGTGAATCGTAAGAAACGATTAAATTTTGCTAAAGACTACGTTTCTAAAGACCAAACATGGTGGAATAATGTAATATTTGCGGATGAAAGCAAATTTAATCTTTTTGGGTCAGATGGACGAAGAACGATATGGCGTAAAGTCAACGAAGAATTGAAATTAAAAAAGGGTATAGCCGAATAAGGGGGACAAATGTGCCCCCAAACCGAATGGAACGAGCCACGGGTCATTCGATAGCAAAAAAAAAATAACCCCTGTTTGCAAATTTTTAACTTGAAATCTCGACCGTGGGGGTAGTAATGGGGTGAAAACGAAAATCATGTTTTTGAATTATTTCTCTTGACCTATTGAGTAAAAAAATGTAAAAAAATTCAGAGACATTTCGGGTACCGGGGCACATACTTTGGGAGATTTTCAGATTTTTTGATTGAAGAACCAGGTAGTGAAAAATAAAAAACAGCAAAAAATGCCGAAAAATGCCGATTACGTATTGAAGGAGGCCCGGAACTACTTTTATACTTTTACAGTAAACAGGTATTACTATTACTATTACTCTCAATTTTTTTCAGATTTTTCATTTTGGTGCGCCGCAGTGAAAAAAAATAAAAACCGAGTTTTTCCTCGTTTTCTGCGTATTAGAGTAACTTACACGTTGAATTTTTATGCATCCTTCAATATATAAGTGTTTTGTAGACTGTTTAATGTTTCTACACTAAGCAGAATTACATAACAATTGAAACAAATAAAATAAAGCCAACCATTGGGTGTATATATCCTAAAAAATCAACGATATTTTCAACGGCGTCGATGGCGCAGCGTTAGAGTGTCCGACTGCTGAACCGCTGGAAGTTTTTTTACCGTAGGTTCGAGTCTCTCTTCTGGACTTAGTATTTTTTTTTCTTCATTATTTTTTTTTTCAAATTCTAACTATATAACAATGCTTTATATTTATTTATAAATGTTCTGATAGCATTTTACAAATATTTTAACCTGAAATATGTATAAATGTAGTCTTGAAGTGTTTGTTGCGTTTTTATTTTTTTTGTCAACCACGATTATTGTTTAACATCTCTTACACTGAAATTAATGTGAAATGTTAGTTTTCAAATCTCTTACCTTTGACTATTGTGAATGGATCGGAGCAGAAGATTGTATATTGGCTTACTATTACTTCTTCTCGCCCTTCGATCAAGCAGATCTTTCCTTCTCGTTCTCTTTCTTTCATAAATATGAATGTTTGCTGCGGCTTTCAGTATCTAACGTAGACATGTAAGGGCCATTCCACGCCAAATCTATTAACCCACTCTCTGCCAATGATACTTTTTTCTAATAAACCCATTTTTAAGTACCAGTTTGAACGTTTCATGCTTATTTTTGAATGAAGTATCATTGCTCGATGGAAACCACGGGGAAAAATGATTAATTGTCCTACCTGCGTTACGAAGGAAATAAAGGTTCGTTGGGTGTGGGCCCAGACCGTTCAGGTCAATGGGTGATTGTCGCGTTCGGGTTTCACAATGTATTTTTTAATTACTCAGTTCAAGCTACTGTATGCGATGGGATTTATACATAATTACTTGGCATGGTCCGTAGAGGTTGGTCCTACAAGTGTTTCCATTATCTTTAAAACCAGCAGTAAGGAAAGGATAATAACCCTTACATGTCTACGTTAGATACTAAAGCCGCAGCAAACATTCATATTTATCAAAGAAAGAGAACGAGAAGGAAAGATCTGCTTGATCGAAGGGCGAGAAGAAGTAATAGTAAGCCAATATACAATCTTCTGCTCCGATCCATTCACAATAGTCAAAGGTAAGAGATTTGAAAACTAACATTTCACATTAATTTCAGTGTAAGAGATGTTAAACAATAATCGTGGTTGACAAAAAAAATAAAAACGCAACAAACACTTCAAGACTACATTTATACATATTTCAGGTTAAAATATTTGTAAAATGCTATCAGAACATTTATAAATAAATATAAAGCATTGTTATATAGTTAGAATTTGAAAAAAAAAATAATGAAGAAAAAAAATACTAAGTCCAGAAGAGAGACTCGAACCTACGGTAAAAAAACTTCCAGCGGTTCAGCAGTCGGACACTCTAACGCTGCGCCATCGACGCCGTTGAAAATATCGTTGATTTTTTAGGATATATACACCCAATGGTTGGCTTTATTTTATTTGTTTCAATTGTTATGTAATTCTGCTTAGTGTAGAAACATTAAACAGTCTACAAAACACTTATATATTGAAGGATGCATAAAAATTCAACGTGTAAGTTACTCTAATACGCAGAAAACGAGGAAAAACTCGGTTTTTATTTTTTTTCACTGCGGCGCACCAAAATGAAAAATCTGAAAAAAATTGAGAGTAATAGTAATAGTAATACCTGTTTACTGTAAAAGTATAAAAGTAGTTCCGGGCCTCCTTCAATACGTAATCGGCATTTTTCGGCATTTTTTGTTGTTTTTTATTTTTCACTACCTGGTTCTTCAATCAAAAAATCTGAAAATCTCCCAAAGTATGTGCCCCGGTACCCGAAATGTCTCTGAATTTTTTTACATTTTTTTACTCAATAGGTCAAGAGAAATAATTCAAAAACATGATTTTCGTTTTCACCCCATTACTACCCCCACGGTCGAGATTTCAAGTTAAAAATTTGCACACAGGGGTTATTTTTTTTTTGCTATCGAATGACCCGTGGCTCGTTCCATTCGGTTTGGGGGCACATTTGACCCCCTTATTCGGCTATACCCTTTGAGAGCAACAGTGAAACACGGGGCGGCAGTGTAATGGTGCGGAGTTGCATTTCAACTGCAGGTGTTGGTGAACTAGTTTTTATCGACGGCATTTTAGATAAGATGAAATATTTAGACTTATTGAAACAAAATTTAATCAAAAGTGCTGTTAATATGAACATACGCAATAGTTTTAAGTTTTATCAGGACAACGATCCTAAGCACAAATCGAGAATCGTACAGGAATACTTACTATATACCTGTCCTAAAGTGTTACACCCTCCGCCTCAATCGCCAGATTTAAATCCTATTGAGAATTTATGGGATCAATTGGATCGTAAAATTCGAACAACACCCATAAAAACAATAAAAGAATTAAAAGAACGTTTATTACAAGAATGG